TCGCGTGGTCAGCGCAACGAATCCCCACGGCCGTTAATTTCGGTTTTCTAGACCGGAGCGGTTATTTCCTTCAAACAGCTCCTCAATTGTCCTCACAAGGCTGAGTGGACCCCGTTCCAGACCCACTACTTCTCAGAAAATCTGGTAGCGCCAGGAATCAAACCCGGACCTCTGGATCTGTAGCCGGGAACTCTGACCACTAAACCACACAGGCGGTCGGTGATTTCATAAAGCTACTTTAATTTCTTCAACATAAAGAAAGTCGGCTAATAGCAACTGTGAACGGAAATGTGGCTGTCGTAAAATACGGAAGTGCGATAAGGTTTATCTTGGATCAGAAGCAGTAGCTACTTGCACGGAAGAGGGATATACTAATACAAGGTTTAAGAAAACTGTATACTGAGGATCTTCACAACTTGTATTTTTCACCGAATATTATTAGAATGATAAAGTGTAGGAGGATTAGATGAGAAGGGTATGTAGCATGCATGATCAGAAGAGAAATACGTACAGGGTTTTGCGAGAATGAAAGAAGAAAGGAGACCATTAGGAAAACCAAGACGTAGGTGGGTGGATATTATCACAATGGATCTTAGAGAAAGAGGATGGTGTGCTATGGACTGGATTGATCCGGCTCAGGATAGGAACCAGTGACTGGCTCTTGTGAACACGATGACCTTAGGGTTCCGTAAAAATTTTCTAGAGACTGTTGGTTTCTCTTACTTAGCAGCGGTAGCTTTTGCCATTTTTCGTTGCTTTCCTATTTCCTATTTAAAGCCCTGGTTATCTTATCAGAACACAAGGCAGTAACATATAACAATACCAGTTACATAAACTTGTTTAGACTTTTACATATATTTAAGTAACATACAGCGAACAGTTCTAACAGTTTGGCTCGTTCGCCTAGCAGAACTTTTACCTCGAGTCTTTCCTTCACTACAGCATTCACATATTACCACCATAAGGACTCTCATAAATTGAAACAGTATCATTAACAACTACATTATACAGTGTCCGTCTTGCAGTGCATCCACTTTTACCTGTCACTTCACACCATGTTTCGGCGCCACAGTGCCATCATCAGGTGCTCCATTTACACTAATCTATTGCATTGCATGCCATTGTGTCAGTGTAAAATTATTTAAAAAGTATTTTAAAATATTCGTCAGTTATAATAAATTTTTTGTATACTAAAATCTTGTTAAGATATTCATCTTATCTGTTCCAATTCAAAACCCGCGCATGGTTCCTCCACTATGGGAGTCGTTCCTCTTATATGGCGTGTGTATCGTGTCTCGTGAGCGTGTTCCCTTTTTGGCTGCGGGTGTTGTAGTGATGGCACTATGGTACCGAAACATGTTGTGAAGTGACAGGCAAAAGTGGATGCACTACAAGACGGACACTGTATATATATCATGGACTAAAATCAGTGCAACAGAACGCTAAAATACAACACTACAGGTAATGAAATTCGTCATTTCATCAACAGTAATACGTGTATATTCTGGGGTGTGACGCAATGCATTCTGTAGAAGTTTACAGACACTCTGAAGGAATGTGCTGTATTCCTCCGAAACGTCGGTACGCTTCTACGAGATAATAGGACGTCACATCACACAAGATAGTACACTTCATAGTGACAGACACGTGTGTATGAAATGCGGCGGCCTAACTATATTTCAGTCTTCTGATAAGTCAAAGGAACGGGACGGAAGCCTATATCTAAGCTGAAGTGTAATATTTACTTGGTATACATTTCCTGAAATACGCCTGTATGTATGTGGTAATAAAATAAACTATGTGGCTTTAGTCCGAAATCGAACTATACCGACCGAGCGACCACCGCTTGTCGGCGAAGTTAGACTAATGGTCAGAGTTCCTGGCTAAAGTTCCAGAGGTCCCGGGTTCGATTCCCGGCGCTACCAGATTTTCTGAGAAGTAGTGTGTCGGGAACGGAGTCCACTCAGCCTCGTGGAGATAATTGAGGAGCTACTTGAATAGAAAAGTAGCGGCTCCGGTCTAGAAAACCGAAATTAACGGCTGTGGGATTCATTGCGCTGACCACGCGATATCCTTTATCGCTAAAGTTGGCACTAAAGTTGTATGTGCTAATTCATTCTTTCATCAGTAATCTGTCAGACGACAGTAAAAACTCTGCTTTTTCGGGAAAATTAGGGATGGTTTTCCAACTGATTCTCCAAATATTTAACGACACTGTTTTAACAAAAGGGTTTGTACTTAGCCGAATTACACTGAAATATGATGACGAATATTGAAATGGTAAGAATTGGAAATGTGGCGGTAGTGACATTGTAGAAGCTCCATTCAGGCATTCATTTGAGGGGAATAATGTACGTATAACACCAATCAGAATAGTCTGTGAGAACCAAAGAGAAAAAATAGTTTGTGAGCACCAATCAGAATAGTCTGTGAGCCGGCTGAGAACCGATCCGTGTATGTTTAGGATACCGGTCGAACTCATTAGGCCTACAACTGAGCTACAGGGCAGATTAGCCCTTTGCATCACTCCATGTGATACCTGCTTCGACATTCAAAATGTGTGCATTTTGTCCACAGAACTATGCGTTCTTTATGATTCTCAGATTAAAGGTCAATGTTCCCCTCTATAACATTAACCCGTTGATCTGTGTAGTAAAACGCTGTCCTTTTTCTGTGATGTAGGAACTGACTTTTTGAGCATTATTTGCGTGAACCTCAAGCTCCAAAAACTCAATGTACTCATGTTCTTCGTTGCTCTTCTCAGTCTGTCCTCGACAAATTGAGACTGTTTACGATTTCGTCTTTGGCAATATATTTCTATTGATACTGTACTACTGTTGGTGGCAAATTAATAACTTGTTACGATCAATCGTTACTTCCGTCTTCATGCTTGTTTAGCCACTGTAGACGGTCGAACGAGCAAACCAGTTCAGCGCCAATACATCTGACTTTCATTCGGGAAGGAGAGGTTTCGAGTCACGGTCTTGGTACTAGTAAACTAACTTAAGTATTTTAAAGACTATCTTGAGTAGTTCTAAGGGAATCGTGCAATGTGTTTCTTCGTACATTCTCTTTAGTCATAATGAGATGAGACCCTTTTTCTTTTATTGCTAGTGGGGTGGGACCAAGTCCTTTGTACTGCGGCCACTTCTGGCCTATTGTACCAGCCCCAGATGATAGGTGAGGGTGATTGTGGAGCAATTGGTGGAATGAAGATTGACAGAGAAACCGAAGTACTTGGAGAAAACCTTCCCCAGCGCCACTTTGTCCACCATAAATCCCACTTGACCAGACCCGGGCTCGAACTGCGGCGGGAAGCCAGCGACTAACCGCTTGAGTTATGGCACGGCCTCAGAGATGAGACCCTTGCGAGGCTAACAGTCATGCCCCCTGTCCACTCTGTATTTTATCCCGTCGTTATAAACTGTAGCTTGGTTAGGGTATCTGATTCCCTGACCTGGATTCAAAGCAGTATTCTTGTCCTTCAACTCACGCCAGATGAGTTGGAGTTGTTCAGCAGATAAATAAAGTAAAACTATTTTCAAATGAACTGTAATATATTGTAACATGTATTAGTGACTATAGATGAGGTTTAGATTGGTGAATAGATTTACTAAGCACTTACAGGTCATAACTACAAATAACTATAACACTATTGCTGATTTTCACACCACAAAACACTCCACACTAAGTCTTCTCAGTCTACTTGGTAATAGCTCTCCACAATGACTGTTCCTCTGCAATGTTTTCAGTAGACGTTTCCTGATAATGAATCTCCCTTTGGTTAACACTTTCAACTCCTCCACTGAACAGCCTCAACTGCACAGCACTCACTCGCTTAACGGAACTGGGTCGGTCGCGTCATATAGCCTGGGAACGGTTCCACAGAGAACGCCGCCTGCAAAACCTTTCCTATTGTTGTGTGACGTCACCGAGCATGCGTATGCTGCTGCGGGCGTTACATAGCAACAGCTGTACGCGTCACGTATCGTGACACCTACTCTACTATTGCGTGAGGACATTAACTGACGGCTGTTTCTCTGCTTCCACAGTTCTAGCTTTGAGCAAATACGCCACATTGCTCCCTCCTTAACGCTGTTCGTCCTGAGTAGCCAATCGGTAGGTCACCGTTGCTACATTTCCGAGGGCTGTGCTTGTGGCGTGTCTGAGCAGTCTCACCTTCCTTCCCGTTGCTCGGTTTTCCGCGGTGTTTACTCTCCGACCGCTCCCAGTTAAGTTCCAAAAGTAAATTTCCGTTTGAAAGCGATGGTCATGTGGTTCAAAGACTTTTATTTCCGACTTCGCCATACCAAACTGTTTTCTTTTTTGGTGAAATTGTAACAGGAAACACTGCCTTTCGTCGCTACATGTCTAGGTCACGTAATCTTGATCCAGTTCCCAAACTGTAAAGCAGCAGGTCATAAGCAGTTTTCGTCTACCCATGTTATCGGTTAGTTTTGTTGCTATTCTCTAATTGTGGGAAAAAGGAATAACCAAACTAATGGACAAAATAACATTAAATAGGAGCTTAATAGTTTTAAGGTAAAAGGTAAAGTTGTCCACGTGCTTAATTAATTAGACACTATGCCATGAAGGCATACAGGAGGGTGGAGGTATAGCTCAACCGTTCTTGACCTCGACAGTAAATAAAGGTGAGTGATCAGTTACACGCTCCGGCCTCTGAATGAGCCCCAGAACCTGTCTGGACGTTGTGGAGCACAGAAAAATATCTTGCCTCTGCCAGGAATCTAACTCGGAGCGCCCAGTCCATAGCTCGTCGCTATGCCGACTGAGGTATCGCTTCACCTTTATTAGAAACAAGAATCCTCCTCAGTACTTTGTTCTCAGATACCCCAGTTTACATTCCTACTTTACAGTCTGAGACCATGTTTTAAGTTAACATAAATAGCAAGTACGTTGTATACGCTAAAATAACTCGGTCCTGTTTCGAAACACAGCTATTAAAATATATAAAAAGCTATGTTCTCCTTTGTTTATAGGCTCGAAGAGGCGGCTCCTATGCTGAATGGGGACACAGCAGTCGTTAAGCAGAAAGTTTTAACACCTCAAACTCCTACAAACAAAAATGGCTTCGTCTCGGTAGACGACCTTCAACCAGGAAGTAAAAGGACGCTACAAGGGTTACTCCCACAGGTAATTCATAACTTATATAGAGAAGTTCCCAAAAGTTGTAGAGGTCTCCCTCTAAGCAGTGGGACGTGATATATACGTACTTAATTCCCTTCGACTGTATTTCTAATTTATTCGTGATGCCAGGCAAACATGAAATTTTCAAATCTCTCAGTATTTAATGAACGCCAGTTTCCTAATCTCGAGGCACTGCTAGCCCACCATGAACAAAGCAAAAGTGGAAAAGTGTAATTACGTGTACATTTTATCAAATACCTGACTAAGTCTAACATTCATTTATTATATGTTCTTTAGCCATGAAATTCTTGAGACAAACAATCGCCTGCTTTCGTTTGATACAACACGGAACACATACAAGTCGATGCGTCCAGTAGTTCTACTGTTCCTACGTATTCGTCGACGCGGTAAAATTTTTACAAAACCGTTACCTAACAACGACAGGTAAAATGTAAAAATTAAAAGGAAAACTATCCCTGTAAGAGGTTGTGAATGCCCATAGGGCTGTGATACGTCTAGGCTCCCACATTTTCTAGACAATCGGCTCACAGATGGCGGTAATGTCAGCCTTACGTGCCGGCCGTCCTTAACCCCCAGGAAGATTCCTGGTACTTATTTCTGAAGAGAAAGAGAAAATTCTTGACTCTACCGGGACTCGAACTCCGACCCTTCGATTGTCAGCCAATAGCCAGTCGTTATGCCGACTATGGTATCCCGGCTCCCAATAATAATAATAATATAAGAATATCAATAGAGGTTACTGCTTTTGTGAAATATGTTATTATCACGACCCTCAAATTAGTGGCAACTCTGTAATATTCGTATTATCATTAGAATAATTTATTTTGCCGTTATCCATTATCGGGGTAAAAAATTAGGATTAATTTCATCTCATGGGTCCCCTTATAAGAGATTTCTTGAATGTTATAACCTTCAGTATATAGAAATACAAGTCCATCAAGTGTAACACCAGGGCTCGCCTCACATACATCACTGGATTAAAATATACGCATAACAGACGGACATACGGCCCACAATACAACGGCGCTAAAACGCTAAGTAACCGACAGTAGAAACGAAGACCGTCCTTACGTTTTTCCGTCTACCTACTTTAAACTGGTCTCAACAATTTATTCTTAATATACTGAGCTAATTTTAATTGTATCAACTATTCAGGCTTCATTTAAGTCCCTCTACGATCCTAATATTATCACAGTATCAACAACCTGTGCTTAACCATAACATATATAAAGTAGTTCCTTTATAGTTGGCTATGTTTCCTAATGATGGCTAGCAATGGCCGGTACCTGTAAACGCAACTGATACTGGTTCCACAGTCTCACGCTCAACATGTCTCTCTATAAAACTTATTTAAGGTTATTCACTTTAAAAGTTCTGCACATCATAGAACGTTTAATAGTATTGTCGCATGTTAAAAACTTGCTGCTCGCGAGGCGGTGGAACCAGTAACAATTGATACTAAGTGGTGTGCAGCAGGATACTACAATATAATATTATACAAAGGCAATTTTATTTGCTACTCTTAAATTAGTCATGCTTGAGAGACTTCTAACTACTTGCATATATATGTACACGCAATACAGTGAGAGAGAGAAAGAGAGAGTTGCCAAAAAGTCAGTAAACTGGTTAGTAAACTGTACACTAATGTACCTTAGAAATTTCTTTATTACTGAATTTCCAGAAGTTTTCGAAATGAGATTCTCCATGTTCAGTTCACGACTGCTGTGACGCCTTTCTACAAATTGACTGGCACATTTAAATCTGAAAATACTCTTTCATCCCGGAGAATCTTTTAGGCTGACTTCTGGGCCACTCTGTGTATGTTACATACATACGGAGGTATGTCCACCCTATGAAACGCTTTATTCTTCTTTTTGCTTAGAAGGTGTGACAATGCCCAAAGAAAATATGCCCATGACCACAATATACGAGTACATCGTTGAAATGTATTGAGTTTCTAGTATTACTGGAGGAAAAGTTGGAGGGGAGAGAGAAGAACTAGCTCTCCGCGGAAAGTGGTCACCGTCGCAAGGATAAGTCGATAATAAATGTAAAGGGACATTTCAAGCGGTGAATTTCGGAATAATTCTTTAAATGCAGAATATGTGAAGAGACGAATTGGCGATAAACGGAAAGACGTAGACGTAAGTACAGCAGAAGAAAGTTGGAGAGTAGAAAATACAGACAAAAGATGGAAGGACATAAACCCAACATATACGAACAGTAATATATTTAATGAAAATGCGTTAAAATAAAAACAAAGATTCTTCTTCTTCTTCGTCAAAAAAAAAAGAATGGGTGTTAACACTTATTCCTTCAAAGCTTAAGTGTTTATGAAAAACAGATTAACTAAAATAAAAATAGAATAGCAAATGACAAGAGGACGACAACCCCTTAAATTTTCGAAGATTATATACTACTTGCTTCTCTCAAATCTTTCAATTTGTTGTGAAGGTACCAAAAATACTGCGAATTAATATAGTCTCACAATTTACTCTGAATAATTTTCAGTAATTAATAGAAACTTCAGCTGCATCAAATTCGCTCAATATAACGTTAAGTTTTCGCATCGTCTCTGTGTTCTTAATTGTAATTATGTAAAGCCATGTAACATACAGAATTTGTAGGCGACTGATTATTTTTCTATCTGTACTACATTTCACACAACTTCTAAAGTTTCCTTCGTTATCGCCGTTGTACCGAAAGACAAATAGGTCACTTATTGTTCTACATTCTACAGTAAATTTGCCTTAAAAAGGGTAAAGTTATTCCTATACTTCACTAATTAAGCACTATGCCATGAAGGCGTATGGGGAAGTGGATGTATAGATCCACATTTCCTTGACCTGGGCACTAGTTGGAGGTGATTGATCAACTTCACGCCCCGGCCGCTTTACCCGTGAGGAAAGAGCCCCCGGTACCCGTTGGATAGGAGGTCGGGTGGACTCCAGAGTCGGTCTGGATGCCTGAAGAAGAGAAAATTCTTGACTCTACCGGGTCTCTAACTCCGACCCCTCAGTCGTCCAGCTCGTAGCCAGACGCTATACCGACTAAGCTATCCCGGCTCCTACTTTTCATTAAGAAAGTTGTATATTTTCGAAGATTTATCACCCACAGTGTTCGAACTGGACTGGAAAGCCGTTCCGATTGATCAGAAAAAGGCATTCTGGTTGTTACAACCGCATAAGTCCTGCCAGCTTGCTTGTACATTGTGCTGTATTGCATCTTCACTTTCCTAGTATTTCGTATTCATATTATTAGAGGGGGTGGGTTTCCCCATGCATTTAGACCAGTTATTGGTCCATTGTGCGTCCCCCTTTTAATTTCTACTGTCGCCATACCTTACCGGTAACGGTGCGTGCCATCAGCCCCCGTAGAGCCAACGAGGTCGACCCTCGGTACCTTGATGCTTCCCCCATCCACCAGAGGCATTGGAGACTACTTGGGCGGGAAAGGGCCTGTAGTTTAGCTCAGAGGTCTCCTGGAGACATGAGGTTCTTTCACGTGCAATAAATCTACGACACGGGACACACGGCTTAAAGTCCCTCCCGGAGGACTTGTTCCCTGAAATTTTCCGCCCTTAAAAATTCCACGACCTCCGCCGGGTTTGAACCCGCGTACCTTGAGTCATGAGGTGGGAACGTTACTCCTAGACTACGGAGGCCGCTTCACTTTCCTAGTAACTGCCTATGCAGAAGCGGCATCTTTTCACAGAGACGCTGATCTTTGCCGAGCAAATCCCTTCCATCAGCCATACATTCTTCCTGGGCAGAGCAACAAACTTCCTGGAGATATCTGGACAGTTATTTCGGAAAAGTAGGAGATATCCCTTACACTCACAGATCACAGATTTTAAATTAGTTATAATTTGTCTTCCTTTCGAGAAAGGACTTTCTTAAATTATTCATTAAACCTAGTATTGTCAGTGAGTGGAATATCTGAAGCAAAATACATGATACTTGGTAAGTTAATGCTTCTTAAATTTCTATTGATATATGTTTCATACATCGTCCTGATTTGTTTTTTTATTTCGAACAAAGTCAAAAAGTTGCTTAAATAAAAGTAGGACGATCGATAACGTCAGTGATTGTATGAAACTTCGGGTATACACTGTCACGTGTGTCCTCGTAACGCGACAGTAAATAGTGGGTTCCGCACTTGATAACTCGATTTATTGGATAATTTCACACGTCGTAACTACAATTCGTTGTTACACTTTCACGATTGCTGTATCTATGACATGAATGAATGAATGTATAAGGGGTGGGCCTTCTCAGCCCTAGCACCGCGACCTACAGTGGTCTATTGTGTTTGTATCTATGACATACAAACAATTAGAACGCTCTCAAGGTTAACACATCAGCTACAGAACCGCCTATTACTCTTTGACAGTTATGGTCTTGTTTTCTGTGGGGCGCCCTCTCTGACGCGAGGACGGGTTTGTCTTTCGTATATACTGGTGCTCATTGCCAGCGCAGTCTTTCTCGGGTCCGAATCCCTTGGGACACGTGACCATGTTTTACTGTCTCAGATTTGAGACTTCCCTTTTTGTCGCCTCCTACTACTCGCAAGGTGACGGTGGGAGTATTCGACCCCGCCTCCACACGGGCTCTGACCTCTTGAACAGTCTTCACTGCTTCTTATATAGGCCCGGCACGACCACATAGTAAACACGGTCTATGTTTACTGCTCGTTGCCTAACAATGCAAATATTTTTCCTATTGTTGACCAAGGAATTTTCTTCGCGGGAACGTGTTTATCTAGCTGCTCCCTAGCAAAATGTTACAATACGTAGATGAAAATATTACAACGAACTCTGCCAATAACTTAAGCACCAAACTCTCTCATGCCCTGCAACATGGTCCGATATATGGCTTACGTTTCTTTCTTAAGCTGAAAATTTTGAAATTTTCGGCATAACGTTCACACGCAGTTTCGTGTAAACTGGTTCAAAGCTAAAGCGGCGGACAGGCAAATAGTACTGTCATCTCATAAGCCTTAAGCATGCAAAGTAGGCTAAAAATATAAGGCTTAGCTGATTATTTTCTTCCATATTTCAATACTCCACGTGCAGGACTTGGATGTTTAAACCCGATGTACGGTTACAGCTGTTGGTATCGGGGGCAGCGTTCTTGCTCGCGGCGGGGGCAGGCATGCCCATCGGGTACTCGGCTGTTCTGCTTCCCCAACTGCAGGTTGTCAACAGTACGCTGCCCACAGACGACGAAATCGGATCCTGGATCAGTAAGTAAATAACGCCGTTTCGGCACTGTAACTCAGGTCTTGTCCTCTTCTGCTATACATCCTTATTGAGAGCCACAGCAGGGCAGATTGGTCTCGGGATCGAACCACATACATCGTAGGGGCACGCGGTAATGTAATTGGTTGAGGCACTATGCTACAACCCGGAAGGTCGCGGGTTCGATTCAGGATGAGGTGGATTTGTTTCAATTTAGCTAATCCTTCCAGCAGCGCTATGGTCCTGGGGTCGACTCAGCCTCTAACAGAAATGAGTACCAGGAATTTCCCTGGGGATAAAGGGCTGCCATTGCGTAGGGCTGACAACCTTACCGCCATCTGTGAGCCGATTGTCTAGATGATGTGGAACCCTCAACGTCTCACAACCCTATGGGCCGCAATTGAGAAACCAGTATGGCGCAGGTAGCCATCACAGCCAGCCTCTCCTTTGTTGACATGCACTCATCAGACATTCAAAATGCAGGACTGAAGCAGATTCTTTTAATTTCAGTTTCATATCAGACACTGGCTTTATCAGGATGGGAACTAAATATCAGAGCGAGATAGCAGTATACTAACAACAAATCCATCATATCTTAAGATATTTTATAGAGCCAAAGAATGAATGAATAGAAATACTTGGAGCAAGACCAAAAATAAAATATATACCATTTTAATGCTATTTCATGGGCCTCAAAGTAGTAAAAATTGTAAGGTAAAAGGTAAAGTTATCCCTGTAACAGACCGTGGAGTCCCATAGGGTTGTGAGAGGTCAACGTTCCCATATTTTCTAGACAATCGGCTCAAAGATGGCGGTGAGGTCAGCTTTACGCGCCGGCCGCCCTTAACCTTCCAGGAATATTCCTGGTTCTCATTTCTGTTAGAGGCCGAGTCGACCCCATGGCCATAGTGCGGCTGGAAGGATTAGGTAAATTGAAAACATCCACCTCATCGGGACTTGAACCCGCGACCTTCCGATTTGTAGCACAGAGCCTCAACCAACTAACCTACCGCATGCCCTGGGCTCCAAAGTAGCATTAATTCCTTCTAGCGGAAAACTAAGACATACAAAGACTCCCGAACGTGGTACTAGCTGAGTACCAGGAAATAACTTCCAAAAGAACCCAACGAACAAAGCAACGTCGCTGTTAAGTACCTTACCGAGCCAAACGTTACGATTGTGATATGCAGTTATCCTTTTAATAGGTTAAATGCCAATTAGAACGAATGGTGTATTGTTTTAGTAGTGATGGACGTTTGCGGAAGTGACAATAGAAAGAGGTACACAAGATTAGACGATCGTCATACGCTGTAATATTTCTCTCGCCCTTTCAGATACGTCACACAGGGCATTGACCTTTAGGACCATTCTACCAACTGAAAATGTTTTGAGGTGTGCGCGTTGATATCTAGGTCACTTCGTACTGTACACTGCTGCGACTCTGTCCCGTCTCCTGCCCCATCCAATCTAAGTAGAAGTAATGCCTTGCGAAGTGTTCATGTGAAACGCCTCGTGATATATACGTATGTCCAGAAATGGTTTTATTCTCACACCTGATATTCAGCTGAGTTTTTATTTATTCGCCTGCTTACTCAACAGCCTAAAGGTCAATTATAAAGCAAGCACGAGCAAAGAGAGAAAAAAACAAACAGACATAAAACAAAAGATAAAACAAGAAAACTTGCATCATTTAGATAATAACACTTCAATTAATATAATCATGCCAATATCATGCAGTAAGAAAATATACTTACATAACAAGTTTTTCTTCCTTTCTCTATAGCTCTACAGCCCTTTGGATCTTGGTCGCTTTCTCAGTTTCTTGATCCTATACGCAGTCGGAAGACTCCTTGGATGGGACATCAGTCCGTCGCAAGGCCGCTACCTACACACAGAAGAACACAAACACAGAATAAAACGCACAGAGACATCCATGCCTCAAGTGGGATCCTGACCCATGACCCCAGTGTTCGAGCGGGAAAAGATGATTCATGCCTTAGACTTCACGGTCACTGCGATCGGCACATACATACATACACACACACATATATACATTACACACATACGTGTACAATTAATATTTTAATAATCAAGAAAGTACCATCTCCAGCTAGTGCAGAGGTCAAAAAAACGTGGAGCTATACATCCACTCCCCCACACGCCTTCATGGCGTAGTGTTTGATTAGTTAAGCATAGGGACAACTTTTACAGGCCTAAGACATTTGCTTCAGACGTTACTACTGAACGTCTAACACGAGGGAACGTTGAGTCTAGGTACCGGCTGACACATTGATGTGCCCCAGTTCCACAGCAACTAGTGATCCATTTACAGTAGGGTTCTCACGCTTCAGATCCATTTTAAATCAAACTCAGAGGTCAAGCCTAAAGCAGCACTATATTAATAGCCCTCCGTAGTGCTTCAGTACATTGTTTCTCAACCTCCGGGCCGCGGTCTCACAAAGGTTGAGAACCACTGCTCTAGACCATACTGGAAGTAGCCAAGTCAGTACATCGTCCTGCGCGCTTGTAGTACGCCACGTATAAACCACTTTGCTATGTTTAATATCCACTCATATATTTCAGTTTGCATCTCTAACAGAGTAGAAATATGCAATAGTTATCCAAAGATATATGCAATGAAACATTTATGTGAAAAGCAAGAGCATGAAACTGGCACAAAAGACTGAAAAATACTCGTATACTTCTGATGACAACCGGAAGTCACTTAAAACTGTCCCTGTGCTTAATAAATTAAGCCTCACACCATAACGATATAAGAGAAGTGGAGGTATAGCTCCATCATTCTTGACCTCTGTGCTAGATGGAGGTGAATGATCAGCTTCACTCCCCTGCCGCTTTACCGCCCGGCACCCATTCGATAGGAGGCTTAGTAGGCCTTACAGCAGGTCTGGACACTGTGGGGAAGAGAGAAATCTCTTTCCCCTGTCGGGAATCGAGCCCTGGCCCTTCAGCCAGTAGCCCGTCGCTATGCCAACTGAGCAGTCATTTGGAAGACTGAATTATAACGCACCAAGTTTCTCAGCCCTCTTACAATCACGCATTGATTTATTTAATTTCTGCGAGGGGCTGGATAATTCGCTTAGTGGAAGGGGGGTCGAGTCCAACTGAGTCCACTCGGCACGGTGGCTATTAATTGGCCTATTGTACCTGCCCCGGGTGATTATGATGATGGGGAATTTGGTGAATGAAGATTGGCAGGGGAAACCGAAGTACTCCGACAAAACCCGTCCCAACGCCACTTTGTCAACCACAAATCCCACTTGACCAGACCCGGGATCGAACCCGGGCTGCCGCGGTGGGAAGCCAGTGAGTAACCGCTTGAGCTATGGCGCGGCCTGAGGGGCTGGATAAGTAGCACGGATAGGTTGTGGTGAAAGATCGATACAGAATTTCGATTGGAGCGGCCACTTGGAAGGCCGAGAAGAATATGCGAGATAACATTAAGATACAACCTAGCGGGGTACGGTTGGGATCTGTTCCATGTCAAATTCTAGGTTCTCACAGTGGTGACTCTGTAGGTTTGTCTTCTGAGATGTGACACCATATACCCTGATAGATCATTACCAATGTTTTGGAGGAATGTGCTGCTTCCTTCTTCAGGATGGAACTGAACCCCCTGTTTCATGTAGGATTTTGGGCTCTCACAGAGGTAGTTATGAAGAGTACTGTCTTCTGGAACATTATAGCGTGTAGTCCGTTGAAAGTCAATCGACATCTCGGAGGAGCATATCGCCTCCATCTTCAGGGTAGAAGAATAGGCCGAGCAATATACCACCGTAAAAGCTCTGCTAACTGCCTGCTTTCACGCTGGTATCTTTTTGGGCTTATTCTTCGAACCTGAAGATGAAGACGGTATGTTCATCCGAAACGTCGGCTAACTTTCAACGAACTACATGGCATTATATCCCACAAGATTTTCCCATTTAAAGTAATTCATGTGCCTCTACTCCCATACAAGCCGCTCACAGTAACGGCGTGATCTAAAGCATGAACTGTCTTCCTCTGCTCAAAGACTAGGAAAGTGGGTTCGAATCCCACTTGAGGCATAGATGTCTGTGCGCGTTAAATCTGTGTTTGTGTTGTTCTGTGTGCAGGTAGCGGCTTTGCGAAGAGCTGATCCCCCGTCCAAGGTGTCCTACCGACTGTGTAAAAGATTAAGAAACTGAAAAGGTGGCCAAGGTCAAACGAAGGACCGCAGAGCCACAGATACTCCCATACTTTTACCTTCCCCATATATAAACATATTTTGATGAGAATTGTAATCCACAGCGAGTGTGCACTCGGCCGCAACGCCCGTAGGGAGCTTTGTGAGTGGCCTCATGATGGACAAATGGGGCCGCCGACGTGTATTGCAGTTGTGCGTCGTACCCCTTACACTGGGATGGGTCATGATAGCAGTCGCCCAGAGCCATGTCGTTATCCTGACAGGCAGGATAATGGCCGGATTGGCGGTGGGACTCTCCGCTGCGCCAGGGCAGGTAGGCAACTTGCCATCACGCTCAAATCACTTATTTCAAATTTACATCTTTATTGAACGCGACATAAGAAATTATGGGCTACATTTCACGTGTACTTTTATCGTTTTTTGAGTGTACTTTTTCGACCTGAGCTCTGTTTGTAGCTCGGTGTACATCCAACTCGTACTGCACCTGTTGCTATGTGCGTTCAAGAGTATCTTGAGTGGCTGTAGCTGTAGGAGTAGCTTCCGATATTTATGTTCTCAACTTCTTTGGAGGGGTCAATTTTGAGGAGCCGCTTTATGTTTTAAATAACCCGTTAAGAGAAACCTGATGAACTGAAGTCAGTTCAACGTAGAGGCCACGTAACCTGTCCTGCTACACCCATCATTTAACGGGAGCATGGACATTCAATGATTTCCGTACACCACTCCTGAAGCCCCTCGAGCTGAAGTAATGCGTATCTATACGATCCTTTACCGCTAAAATAATGCATATGCCAATTTAGTTCTTCTAATTAAATTTCACATTGGAATATCTCCCAAACAAAAGGAGATCATGTAAAATTTGAGGCTATCACGGCGGTGACTATGAAGAAAGCAGTCTTCTGGGATTTGGCACCGTGTATATGTGGTGTTAACCGACGTTTCGGAGGAACGTATCGCCTCCATATTCAGGGTAGAAGAGTCACAGTCTGCTTTTACCGGTTCTCACGGTCTCTTCGCTTGCAGATTTCTTATATTTTCTTCTACCCTGAAGATGGAGGCGACATGTTCCTCCGAAACGTCGGTTAACACCACATATACACGGTGCCAAATCCCAGAAGACTGCTTTCTTCATAAAAGGAGATCATATTAATAATTTGCATTGTTATTTCTGATTCACAATTTGTTTTGCTGTGCCGTGTTATCCCATTCAATAAATACTTATGTTCATAATACCTGCATTCCTTTAAAGAAAGCGGACTTTAATATCACGGCTTATTCAAAATAATGGGCAAGATATCTGGAAGCAGAGAGGAAAATATGCCAACCTGCATAACGAAATATGCACCAAAAGGAGAGATGTGAGAAGATTTAGAATGTAAGAATGTTGAACTGACATGGGTCCGTTCTTGAACAGTGCCATGTAAGGACTTAATTAGCTTAAAGCACAGGATGTTGTGACTTGGAAATGATAAACATGATACAGACGTCCTTGCATGGCTCGAAAAACGCTTCCTCAGACAAAAGTAACAACACTACGCGATATCTGTGCACAGATATATGTAGTTGCATTCTTCTAGTTGTATTTAGAACACTTTTAGTCCCTGGCAATTTTTCGAATAACTCATCTGGAAATTACACACAGACAATTCCAAAATGGTGTTTTGGTTGAGTCGAATCTGTTTCAGCCGCTCTGTACTGGTGTGAAATTTGGTCTCTCATTCCGAGGGAAGAAGACAGATTGACGGTCTCTGAGATCAGAATGCTGATGAGAATGTCTGGACTGAAGAACGGGGGGGNGGAGGCTGCTAATACAAACTGCATAAATATGAGCTTCATAATTTTCACTCATCTGATAATTTTAGGTTTATCAAATGAAGGATAATCAGATGGACGCGCATGGGAGAAATGAAAAATGTATTACAAATTCTAGAAGAAAATCCTGAAGTGATGAGGGAGCTATTCGTGCTTGGTAGGATAATGTTAAGATAAATCTTAAACGATTAAAATATAAGGTGTGAACTAATTTCAAAAAGATGACAGGGACCAGCGGCAAGCTCTTGTGAACAAAGTAACGAATATCCGGGTCCCTCAAAATGGGGATAATTTCTTGAGTACATGAGAGAGAAATGAGTTGGTTACTGAATCTGAAAGTCCCCAGAGTCCTTATAAAGTAAAATGTGGTTAATAGTCCCATGGAAATCGGGACAAAGAATCACTGTGCTGGCGAGGACCAGTAGCAATTTAGAAGCCAGCCAGGCAGTCACGCTGTTAGTAGTTAGCCGGTAGCCAGTCAGCAACGCCATGAGCATGGAAGCTGAAGAATCTCAATTGTTAGAAACCGTTACCAAACAACGATTAGTGAAGACATGGAAGACTTTATGTGTGCTGCAGTCACAATGATTTCTGTAGTCTGTAAATGAGTGAAGCGTTATAATTATTTGTAGTTTTCCCTAGTAGAAGTGGAAGGGGCCAGTAGCAGTCAGACCCCTCCTCTCGTCGAAAAGGAGACCCCGTTTCAAAACACGTAAAAGTCTGGAGAGACCTGAAATATGGCCATGGGTCCCGACGGGGTCCAAAGCCAAGAACGACTGTGCTGGCGAGGGCCAGCAGTAATTTACGGGACTGAAGTAGGTTCACGTATGAACTGTTGTTTGTTGACAGGTATTCCTGGGAGAAGTGGCGGAGCCCGGCATGCGAGGCCTACTCTCCAGCATCCCCTACGTCAGCTACTCGATGGGGATCCTCATAGTGTATGCACTGGGTGCAACACTGCACTGGCAAACGGTGGCGTGGGTTGCCATAATACTGCCACTCCTGTCACTCCTGTCGTTCACAGTATTGCCAGAGAGCCCTGTGTGGCTCGTCAGACATAACCGTGTGGAAGACGCGGGTAAAGCTCTCAACTGGCTTCGTGGAACATACGGCGGTGGCAAAAAGGTTTGTATATCTGAGAGCAAGGTCATGCTCCTCTCATGCTGTAAGAAGTGAAAGTATTAAAATAAATCCGAGAATATCTATGAAGAAAGCAGTCTTCTGGGATTTGGCACCGTGTATATGTGGTGTTAACCGACGTTTCGGAGGAACGTATCGCCCCCATCTTCAGGGTAGAAGAAAAAGTATAAGAAATCTGCAAGCGACAACACCGTGAGAAACGGTAAAGNAGATACACGGTGCCAAATCCCAGAAGACTGCTTTCTTCATAGTCACCGCCGTGAAAGCCTCAAATCTTACGAGAATATCTAGTTTCTTTAATTTTTCTGATAAAATACTCCTATAGCCTCAAGTTTCAAACACAAACACCAAATATTAAAAGGGAATATACAATATATGTAAAATATCTAAGTAGGTCAAGGACAGTGATAAAGTTTAAAAATACTTCAAATTAATGTTGTGCTAAAGTTCGTTGGTGTGAGTTGTTGACGGAGAAAATGTTGCCAATGCTGCTTCGTGTTATATAACATATTATAGACTCGACAAAATGAATTTCCTTAATGGCCGTGCCATAACTCAGGCGGTTAGTCGCTGACTTCTCACCGCGGCTGCCCGGGTTCGAGTCCGGGTCTGGTCATGTGGGATTTGTGGTGGACAGAGCGGCGCTGGAGCACGTTTTCTCCGAATACTTCGGTTTCCCCTGCCCATTCCCATTCCACCAATTGCTCCACAATCACCATCACCTATCATCTGAGCCTGGTACAATAGATCAAACAGTGGCCGCAGTACCAAGTGGACTCAGTCTCACCCCACTAAGAATAATAAAAAAAAATAATAATTTCATTAAATGCTACTATTTCTTTAAGCAGAGCTCTGCTTGCTAACTGCTTCGGGCTGGCTTTTTGCTCTTGGACATTAAGACTGTTCACCATCGTGAGGTCCGTAAGAGTCTCAGAACCTTAAAGTGAACAAACCAATACAAAAAAAAAACAAGAACTATGTGAATAAATACGTCCCTACTTTCTTTAACACTATACCAAACACATGCGACCAGATGCCATGATACGCATATCANAACATTTCTGCTATTGCTTTTCAGTATTTGTTGCCACGGTAACTTTTTACCGAGCCGTTGCCTAGCGACGACAGGGGGATACACATATACACACACACAAACTGATGGGATGGATACGCGTACATGAAGCATGCCGTTGAGATGCGACCAGATGCCATGATACGCATATCGGTTTACATGAAGCTTGATACAGGCGTTCAAAAATCGTAATAGAAGAGATACACAGACATACAGACAACATAAGCCTTCATCTTTTTCAGAATATCGAAAGTTGGCTAAAAAGAGCTTAGGCCAAATAACAAGTTAAAGCGAAATAAAATCAGTTTATTTGGATCCTATTCTGTGCAGACTGAGACGTGGAACTACTGGGTGATTTTCGACTATTCTTTGACCAGTGTATCATGCGGGACCGTACCACGTATTTACGCCCCCGCTAGCATAACTCGCCAGCTGATTAGGTTAGTGTTTCTCAACCGCAGGGCCGCGGCCCGGTATCGGGCCCTCTTCTTATAGAAAAAAGAATTTACCGGGCCGCGGTCTCACAAAGATTGAGAACCACTGGATTAGGGCGCGTAAACGTAACCAGCACGTTAAGATAGTAGCTCAGGATGAGGCAATCCAAACTTTGCCCACCTCACTTGCTTTCTACTGTCCCCCTCCACTTCCTTAAATTATTGCGACCCTACAAAATGTGAGACATAAAAAGATATTTGCTTCTGCAGGCGAAGCTGGAACTGCAGCAACTTGTGAGCAGAGTACATAGCGAGAAGGAGTCCTCGAGTGGAAACATCTCCAGCTGGCGAATGTTTTTCAAACCACAAGTACTGAAGCCGGTTGCCATCGTCAATGTGTTCCACCTCGTTCAGATCGTCTCCGGCACATACCTTGTCATATTCTACGCAGTTAACCTCATCTCCGAGACAGAAAATGAAGCTGGAGGCATTGACAAGTTCCTAGTGGCCGTCCTCACTGCAGTTTTCCGCCTTATCTTCATCACCATCGCCTGTTTCCTTCTTCTTTGGGTTGGCCGACGTCCTCTGGCATTATTCTCTGGCGTCGGATCATCAGTTGCCGCGTTAGGGGTTGGCACATTTCTGTATTACCGTCAACCTTCTTCTGAATCCTTGAACACTTGGATCGTGGCCGGTTTCATCCTCACCTACGTAGCCACAAATACCGTCGGATTTTTCGTCTTACCAGGAATTGCCATTGGAGAATTACTTCCGGTGAAAATAAGAGGAGCTTTTGGTGGTTACATCTTCGCTATTTTCAACGTTTTATTGTTTTTTATGGCTAAAGTGTTTCCGGCCATGTTGCACACAATGGGATCGCATGGTGTTTTCTGGATGTTCGGCATGTCCTCACTACTAGGAACATTATTCGTGTACCTCTTCTTCCCTGAGACTAAAGGAAAATCACTCGAAGAAATTGAAGACTATTTCGCAGAGAAGAATGTGATGTGGTTAACAAGAAAGAAACATCAAAATGCCGATGAACCACTGAAAGCGTAGTTATACATAGGATGATTTTGCGGAAGTTGAGGGCAAACGAGTAACAATCGCACTCGGAATTGCGTTGTGTGTTCCATATCTTATTAATCAATTCGTATTTCGACTGACGTTTCTCTCAGTAAATGCATCGAAGTGCTCAGAACAAGATTTTGTATAAGATTTAAGGCATTCACGGCGGTGACTATGAAGAAAGCAGTCTTCTGGGATTTGGCACCGTGTATATGTGGTGTTAACCGACGTTTCGGAGGAACGTATCGCCTCCATCTTCAGGGTAGAAGAAAAAATATAAGAAATCTGCAAGCGAAGAGACCGTGAG